CTCACCTCTTGGCCGCACGAAAACAGTTTTGCAGGATTGGTTTTCAGCCCACATAGATCTTGAATGTCTGGGCGAAAATAGAGGTTAAAGAAAAATTTGGCATAAATCTCTTCTTCAAGCCTACCGCTTGAAGCCAAAAAACTGGCAAAAATATTTATAAACTCTCCATCAACAGTATCCTCTGGTGGCCAAGATCCTACATTTGGACCAATATGATAATGTGGCCAAACGAATTCAGAGAGAGTTTTTAGTTTATTCTTTTTAAAATTCATCTCCATTGCTTCTCTGGGTTTTAAAATTTCCCAGTGCCTGATAATGAATTGCAATGGGGTAAAATTCTTTTTGCTATGGATTCCTTCGTTGCTGTTTCACTCAGATGGCTGTTGTAATTTCCCATAGTGCCACATAGTGGATTTTCTTCTTTTTCCTTTTTTTTCCCCCTTTTTCTAAGCCTTCTGTTAACTAGAGGATTTCTCGGGTCTTTCCTTCAACTCGGGATTCTCTTTTTTTACAGACTCCACTGGAGAATTTCTCGGGCTCTTTATTTCCTCCCTGTCAGTCTTTCCCTCGACACAGGGGTTCAGCTCGGGATTTTTAGGGATTTCTCGGGCCGATTTTTCCTTTCATCAGCTCTCGGTCTGGCCCGTGTACCCTCCCTAATGTGAAATCCTTCTCCATGTAACGGTGAGTCCTCCTAACCTAGAATCCTTCTCTAGGACAATATATTCCAACAAGCACACATACTGCACTTACTTCGTAGGCAAGCCCCTAGTGGAATTTCCCACGTCTCACTCACGCACTCTCAAGGCAGCTCTCCCCACCTAATAAAAACATACCCTTTTCCAGTTTCCCCAAATCCACTTCATACAACAGATATAAAAGAAAAAGCCTCAATTTTGAGCATTCAGGTTCAGCTGGAGCGGAGTCTGTCGACGGTGCCCAGCACAAGGTCACTGGAAAACTTTCCAGGCACGCGCAGGTTCAGCTGGAGCGGAGTCTGTCGACGGTGCCCAGCACAAGGTCACTGGAAAACTTTCCAGGCACGCGCTTGACGTTGTTAAAGGTCCCTGCCGATTTCCTCCGTCCGCTGTAGTGAAGGCAATTTAGAGAGGGGCTAAAAGCAGCCTCCCGAAGGAA